ATAGTTCTTAGTTGGTTAACTTTCTACAGCGTCTGGTTTCGGATTCGGAGTGTCTTCTCCAAAACAACACTACAACTTAACTCAATCCTTTCGCCTCCACTTCTTCGCTTCCATCGTCAATTGGAACAACTATATATATTTCGGTTCGTTGCCATTCAGGACTGGAGGTCATGTTGCTATAACTCTTCCTTCCTGTGTTTGCATTCCCCACCTCGCACCGGAGTGAAGTCCAATCTCATTTGACGTCCGCCTGACTGAATGGAACGGGAGAGTGCGACTAGGCCTACTGCGCAAAGGACATCGATTGACCGTTTGCTAGGCTGTAATGACTATTACTGCGGCCGTAGGAAAGCCTTCATTGCTGTGAGCCTTTCGTGTGAATTGATTTACCTGCATGTGCGGCTCTCGTATTACGGGGTGAACACTTGATCAGCGACCGTGACTACATCTATTTTTGGTTGTCTTGCCACTAGGTTACAAGTGTGTGTATGTGTGTGAAGTGAAGGCCACTTAGGCGTCTCCCGATTCTCATCCATTCCACCCGCAAGTCACCACTGCTACGTATAGACGACCGAGTGCTCAGCTTCTATTTGAAGGATCCTTTGTATGAAAAAAAGAGTATCCATCCATTTTTTACTGTTCTGTTTAGACTAGAAAGTTTAAGATATCTACGGAGAGCTTCACGCTCTTTCACTAGTCGCTACGAACAGTCTCCAAGTAGTATGTCTTGCCTGACAGCGCCCCTCGATCCTCTTCTTTTTAGGATTCGTTGGATGAGGTGGTCGCTGCCACTGCCTACCTCGAGCTCTTCCTTCGACGTCTCACAGAACCAGCCCTCATCGGCGTTTTCCTGCGTTTCATTGTCACCGCCGAATTTGACTCCCAGTCAGTCCTGTCCACTCTCATCAGTCGACTCAGCTCCAATCCCACGGTAGGTCCTTCCGTGCTTATTTGGCGGTTATAACCGGCTTCTCTTTTCCCACTTCTTGATGTATGCGATCTTAATTGGGATGTGGTTTCCGCTATGCGTCATTCGTACTTGCTAACAGGCAATGGTTAGTAAGATAACTGGAATCTGCCAAATCAGCACCCTTATCTGCAGTTTTGCGTGCTGTCTGT